TTAGTTTGATTTTTTAATAAATTGACGATTTTAGTACATATATATATATATAAAAAAATTATGTTAGTTTTTTATTTTTAATTATTAAAAGTTTTATTTTGATATTTATAAAATTAATAAAATAATTAATTAGTATTTAGAAGTGAATAATATTGAATAATTTTTAAATATATTAAATTATTAAAAAAATATAATATATTAGTGAAGAAACAATTAAATTATTATCGTAACTGAATTACAATGTAAAATGACTTTTTTTTCGTTTAACATTATTTTAATATAAAATTTAATATTTACATGAAATATATATATTTATATTTAATTATTATATTTAATAAATATTATTTTATTTTAAAAATTATATTAATTAGTGAGTTCGAAATTCGGTCTCCTAAAAACCGAATTTCAATCGTGTATGTAAAAATGGTGCTAGTCAGGTAAATATTAATAGAATGATGTTATTTCTGAATTATAAATTTTATAGCGATTTTTTTCTTCAGTAATATGTTATTAAATTTATAATTTAGAAATAATATCATTCTATCAATATTTATCTAACTATCACCATTTTTACATACACGATTAGAACTTGGTTCCAGGAGGTCGAATTCGATCTCATTAATTAATATAATTTTTAAAATAAAATAATATTTATTAAATATAATAATTAAAGATATATATATTTTATATAAAATAAATATATAAATATTATATATATATATATATTTTAAAAATTTATTTATACAATTATATTAAATAAATATAAATATATTTTTTTAAATAACATAAAAATATATTTATATAATTATATTGTTAATATATTTTTATAAATATAGTAAAAATAATAAAAATATTTATATAATTATATTGTTAATATATTTTTATAAATATAGTAAAAATAATAAAAATATTTATATATTTCTATAAAAAATATTATTTTTACTTATTAAAATTATTTTATATTAAAAATTTATTTAAATAATATATATAATTTATTTATGTAAAAATGTTATATAAAAAGATATAAATATATATTTATTAAAATTTATTATATTTATAAAAATATAAATAAATATTTAAATATTATATATATATATATATATATTAAATATACTTGTTTTTACTATATTTATAAAAATATATTAATAATATAATTATATAAATAATAAAAAAAATATATAATATTTATATATATTTTTATATAAAAAATATATATTTATATTTAATTATTTTATTTTAAAAATTATATTAATTAGTGAGGTTGGAATTCGACCTCCTAAAAATTGAATTCTAATTGTGTAAGAAAATTGTGCTAGTTAGATAAATATTGATAGAATTATGTTAATTCTAGATTATAAATTTAATAATATGCTAACGAAGAAAAAAATCTCAAAAGGTTTGACTTTTTATAAAAGTATGCTAACATTCACTATCTTATATATGAAAATTTATATTAAAATAATACTAAACTGAAAAAAAAAATCTAAATTTAATAACCTGCTACTAAAGAAAAAAATCATAAACCGACTATTATAATTCATTAATCCAACAAATTCAATCTCATGAAAGTATTTATTTGAAAAAATATTTTATGTTTGATGCTCCAATAATTTATCATACCAGAAAAATAAAATTAATATTAATAAAAATATTATGATTACATTGACTTTATTATCATATTATGACTACTTATATATTGTAAATATCACTACTTATATAATAATAATAATAATAATAATAATAATAATAATAATAATAAACTGAAGAGAAACATTTTATTGTTAGAACAAGTATGCAACCAAAAACAAAGATGGAAGACTTAATATTAGAATACCACATTCTTAAACAAGTTCTTGCCATTAATTTTTTTATTGTATTTTTTCTTATTTTAAAAGTTTTTAATATATTTTTATTTTTTAATGTGTATTTAATTTCTGCTTTACTTAACATATATATATATATATATATATATATATATATATATATATATTTTAATATTATTAACATCTACATATTAATTATTTATTTAATTAATTTTATAAATATTAAAATAAAATTTTTAATAATTAAAAATAAAAAATTAATCAAAAAATTATATGTCAATTTTAATATAAAAAATTGAACCAAAGTCATAGACGATTTTTATATAAAAAAAACTGCATTAATTTAAAATCGCTAATTAAAAGCCAACTAAAAAAAATTAATCTAATGTGAATTGAAACATGACTTCAAAAAAAAAAAAGTGAATAAGTCATATACGTGTGTATGATTTCTGTAGGAAAAAAACAAAGTCGTGTTTTAAAACACAATTTTTTTAATATAAATTTGTATCTCAAAACATAATTTATCCATATTCGAAATCTTTAAAAAAAAAGTACTCATTTTAAAATAATTAGATTGAATTACACTACCATAAAAAAATATCAATTTTATATATTTTCACTTAATGATTTATGAGTTATTTATATAAATTTAAAATGATTATTAAAATTTTCAAAATTTATGATTTTCATTTATCCATATTTATAAAGATGTAATAATTTTTATGACAAAATAAATTAATTTCTACTTTACATCAATTAACATACATATATATATTTAAAGGGTATCAAAATATTACACATAAATAAAAAATACTACTACTTTACTTGAATATTGTCCTGAACACTTGAGTGGAATGTCTCTAAAAATAAATTTTTTTTTATTCATTCCTCAATTAAGTGCTCTTTTGATCATGATTAACAAATATAATAAAATATCTTTCATCTGATAGTATTTTCCATGATTAATAATCACCACTTAATAGATTTGTTTGAGGGAATTGTCACTTACTAATCACAAACTAGAATAAGTCTTATTTTTTATTATTAATTTTTCTTATCTGAATTATTACGATTACTTTTACTCTTATAAATAAATTTACATCTTAATAATATATCCTACATTATTTATTTACAATCGAAAAATATTTTTTACATGTCAATAATATTTCAAATCATTAACTAGTCCTTTTATCTTAAAAATTTATGCAATTTTTTTTATAAAACATATAATAAACTTCCATTCATGTAGTGTTTTCCCAATGCCACTTCTACACTCCTTTCCTTATTTTTCAGAGAGAATTTATAAAGGGTTTAAATCCTAAAAATATTAAAAAATTAAGTAATTATAAAAATAATTTGTTTAGTTTTTTATTTTTATTTTTTTACAATTAAATAAATACATTTATTTTTTATAAAATCTATATCTTATACTAAAAATAATAAAATTTCCCAAATTTTGAGTTACTAAAGCCATCAATTGTTTAAAAATAAATAAATCAAAAGGCCACCAAATTTATTTTTAACAACATAAATAAAATCTTTTAATGAGACATGTCACCACTAAGAATAATGAATGATAGAATTCCAAATGCTGAAAAATGACACATTATTTAAATTAAATTCACATTATCTAAAACTTTAATGATGCTAAAATTTATTATCTAAAAATATTTTACTTTGATATGATATATCAATATTTAAAATTTAAATAAACTAAAATTAAGTATTAATATTTACAGAAAATAAAATAGAATTATAGAAATAAAAAATATTACTGGTACATAAGAGAACATATGATTTAATATTAAAAATAATTTTATAATATAGGCACAAAACCATAATTACACATAATGGAATAATTTCCTCAAAAATTGATTACAAATTATCGTTAAAATATAAATTATTAAGTCATGTGTTTATGATGTTAGGATGCATCAATTATTTGTTATTTCATTAATTAATTAATTTATTTATTTTTCTCAATCACTTTTCATTTAATTAATTAATGAATTCATTTATTCAGTTTTTCACTACAATTTTATATTATAATCATATATTTTTATACAGGAGATTCATGAATCTTATTAAATAACAAATATTATAATAACGAAAAACAAAATAAGAGATTTATCGTTCAATAAATATCACAACGATAAAAAAATAATTAATATTAACGTTTTCAATTACATGGAAATATATATATATATATATATATATATATATATATTTATTGATGTTCTCAATAAAAATAATAATTAGAAATTAAAGATTATATGAAAAATAAAATTATGTTACTAAGTCAAAATTATATTATCATTTACAAGAGAAATTAAAAAAAAAATTTAATAAAAAAATAGTAAAATAGAAAGAATAGAAACAGCAGGGTAAGTAAAGAGAACCAAGAAAAGAAGAAAATTATAAAAGATGAAAAAAAAACTGTTACTTTTTATTTATAAATTAAAAAAAGTAATTAATGTTAGTTAATATTTGCTTAAAGACCCATGTTATATTATTTATTATAATTTGAAGGAAATTGTTTTGTTAAATCTTTGCCCATATTCGAATTTGTTTTTTATGAAATTGTTTTAACATGGCTGATTACAAATATTATTTGTATAATGGAGTTATTTATTTTTATTTTTTTGCTTAGGATAATTCATACAACACTCCATTTAAGGTGATTTTTAAATAATTATATTATTTATCAATTTTAATAATTTAATCTCATTAATTTTTTTAATTATTTATCTCTCTTAATTAAGATACTCAAATTTTAAGATATTGTTTAAAAAAATTGAACACATTTATAGGGATACAAACGAGTTGTTGGTCCCTATTTGTTTGCAATAATGAATTTTAAGAAATATTAGAAAAAGATGCTACCTTTATTTTTATTATTTTTTATATAAAATGAGAAATTATTACATTTTACAAGAAATGAAAAGAGAAATTATAATTAATATTGTTGTGTGCTTTATAACGTTGCCGGGGATGATACATTGAGTATGAGAGAGTACATTGGCCTTTTGGGGTCTCCTTAAAAGAAACAATGTTTCTCTTTCTCTCTCTATTTGAAGAACACAACACATTTCTTCTCAATTTCTTCTGAGAGGGAAAGAAAGTGAGGGACTTGAACTGAATTTCTGGCAGCACAGCACATTGAGTCACCAACCAACCATGTCTCTTGGGTATGCCGAGAAGCTTTCCTACATAGAAGATGTGGGCAACGTTGGAATGGTCGAATACTTCGACCCATCTAACGTTTTGCGAGAGAAAGTGAGTCCCTTGTCTCCATTATCCTTGTAGAATATTATATGCTTTGTATTGTTCTTACTGTTGCTTGCCCTTGTGCCCTTATTGCCTGTTATAATTTTGTTAGGAGATGTTGATCTCTCTTGTGCAGCTTTTTTGTCTGTGGGGTGTTACTTGTAAAGGCCCTTCACTGCCAGGAAACTATGCTTTGTGTTGTTTGTTATTATGTGCTGCATGATTGATAAAAAATGGCTTTAATTTAGTGGTGCTTGTTGATTAGGCTTAAATTTGGATGAAATTTAAAGGTGTTTATGTGATCACATGCATGATTGTGAGTGTTTATAATACTTTATAAGGGTGGCAAGTAATTTGGAACAAAATTTTAAATTGTGGCTGCGGTTGTGATTTTGTGGCGATCTCGACATTGCATGAAATTGCAGGTAAATGCAGCTGCAACTGTGGTTGCGGTGAGCCCAAAAACCTTGATGTTGCGGCTGAGGTTGCCGTTGTAGATAATTTTTTAAAAGCATGCTTTGGAATAGGTGACCTGTATGAGGGTTTTGATTGAGTGAATATGCTTTGAAACATTGAAAATCTTATAGGAGGGGGTTTACGTATTTTTAGGATTGTTTTTCACCTAAATGTGGGAAAGTTTATGATAGACATTGGTTGATACGCTGAAGATGATTAATAATGGTGGTGCTATTGTGTGTATCTGTTAGACATGAGCTGTTGTCATGTTGCATAAAGTTGTATGTTCACTGATTACTTTTCTCAGTATGTTTTTCATCAGAAAAGGAGGTGTCATTTGGGTTTGTTGGCCAAGGGGATTTCCATTTTCAATCCTCAACTTAGGGGTTGAATTTCATTGATGATATTGCTGGGGATTGTTTATGTTTTTCATTTCTGATTGCATCATTCCTTTTTTGTATGAAACAACTATGGCCTGGTAGATACCAGGGTTGCCATCATAGTTTTTACTATCTTAAAATGAATAAAACTTTAGGTTTTATTTTTTAATGTCCTCAGTTATTAAAGAGCTTGCTGATTTGGGATCCAGAGTAGCATGCACATATTTGTTTCTGCAAGTTTATATCTTTATTGGCTTTGTCTGCTGTTGGCTGATCCAAACCTGTTCAGTGTTAGACAGTTGGATGGGTTTGTACCTCAGAGATACGTTATGTCCTTCCAATGATGAATATGCGATGTTTTATCCTATGTAAGATTTTGTTATAATGTAGAAGTCTGTCAGGCTTTAATTTCTTCTGGAAGTGCTTTTGATATCAACCTATGTGGATATGTATGTACTTGTTTATTTGATTCTTTGAACTATACTTATAAAGTTATGCCATTTATCTTCTATTGGTTTATGGATGAAGCTTTTCAGTGTTATCTTTTTTCTGAATATGATTCAAGAATATCCATAAATCCGTATTGATAGGGAAATAATTATTATAATAGAATCACCTGCTGGGCCATTACAATATATAGTTTAATTATCAGGTGGCTTTACTACCATAATCATTATAATTATTCAACATGAGTACTTGTTTTGATGGGTGATGTTCCTATTCTTTGTGGATTCTCTACGGTAATTATCTAGGTTTGTCCACATGTGTGCAGTATTTTGTCCATGCAGATATGTGTGCTTGAACATTTTAGTCATTTTTTCGATATTGGTTTCTTTTATTATGCCGATGGTCACTAAATTTTTGACATGAGTCCTTTATGTTGTTTATTCAAACATTTCACTTGATTTATACTTTCATATACTAGGTTAAATTTCTTTCAAATTTTCAATTTTTTTTCTTATTTTAAATTAGATATGCATACCAATTTATCACAAGTGAGAAGTTTGCTTCATTTTGCTGTTAAGACTAAAGCTTATACATTGTGTAAAAAAGGGGAATCATTACCTACCCTCAGCCAAAATCAATGCTTCATGTACTAACATAACTCTTCTTTCTTGGCAGATAGATCAACTTGCTATCATGATTAAAAAGGTATCGCTCGCAGCTAATAACTAATGTTGATATTGGGGAGTTTCCTTTCTCTGCTTTAATTTTTAATATAATCAGTCTTTTTTAATTTGTTTTCTATTTCTACTTGCAGAGTAAGCATCTAGTGGTGTTTACAGGTGCAGGAATATCAACTTCTTGTGGCATACCTGATTTTCGAGGTCCCAAGGGAATTTGGACACTTCAGGTGATGATTTCAAAGCTTGGAAATGCTTCTAAGATAATAAAAATTAAAGTTTTATTCGTTTTGGTTATTCTCACAGTCATGAATGTATGCTTGACTATCTTAGCAATTTCTATCAGATTTAGAATTTAAATACTAGTGAGAACAGTGTCATTCATTTTTTTTAGTTACAATATATTTACTATGAATTTTTTCTCTATTACTTAAATTTAGGCTTATATACTCATTAGTAGAGAAGTTGTTTAACCAGTTTGAAGTATACATATTTTTTGTAGTGATGTGAACAGAAGAATAAAGTGCATCTGTTTAGAATTCAGGCCTTCTTTTATTCCAACACATAAAAAGACCACGGTATATTTTAACAATTTCAACTTGATTTGGATAGTATTTCCTAGTGAAGGACATAATGTTGCCAAGTTTCTATAAATTGAAATAAATGTGCTGGAAGGTATCCCATCAAGATACGAACTTCTGTACAACTTAAATTTTCTTGGGCACTAGGATATGAGAAATGTTAACTTATGTGTCCATTATGCTTATGCTTGCTTAAATGAATGCTCAAAGGAGTAAATATAAGTATTTATTGTTCTAGCTGCAGCTGCACTTGTTTTATCCTCTTACAGTTTACATGAATTTTTTGGCTACCCTAATGATTAATGATGACAATATTGTCTTCTAGGGTAGGAATTTGTTTTCCAACAAAAAGGAAGAAACTGATGTATTAATATAGATTTTCTACTACAGTAAGAGGCACAACATAATATAATAGCTGATATAATTGTGGCTAGCTATAAAAAAAAGTCAGATTCTATTATTATTTGCTAGTACACATTCTTTCAGAAATTAAAATCATCTCCTTTTCTTGTTGTTTATGAATTTCACATGGGGATCTTCTCATCCGATCATCTTTGTTGCTGCAGCGTGAAGGTAAAGCCTTGCCTGAAGCATCACTTCCATTTCATCGTGCAGCGCCAAGCTTGACACACATGGCTCTGGTTGAATTAGAGAAGGCTGGCATTTTGAAGTTTGTCATCAGTCAGGTAGAGTCATTTTGTTTTTTCTTTTCTGGTGTATATTCTTACTTTCTTTGGATATGTAAACTTTGTAGGTAATAATTTGTTGAATTGTTGTTTTAGCCATCTTTTTATTTTCTTATGATAGAATGTTGATGGTCTCCATCTTCGATCCGGAATACCAAGGGAGAAACTAGCTGAACTGCATGGGAATTCCTTCATGGAGACATGCCCTTCTTGTGGAGAAGAGTAAGTTTTGATTGCTTACTATATCCTACTTTTGCGTAAGTCCTCTGAATAGCATTTAATTACTCTTGCATATATTCAGTCATATTTATTTCATGAAGCTTTATAATGCAGATGCTAGTACTTGAGAAAAATATATGAGAAAAGGTTCTTGAGATATCTTTTCCAGATCTCTCTTCAGATTCGTATTTATATATACAGAGAGATGTGTTTTTTGCAACAGAAGTACAAAGAGAAAAAAATAAAAATAAATAAAGTTCACCCCTAGGACTCTAGATGACAGATAGGTATAACACAAGACAACTTTGGGTGACCTTCTGTATTGTGCTTTTTTCTAGGTTTACTTTTTTGGTGTTTATTTTATGTAAACTATCACGCTGTCATTTTAAAAATTTATGTCTTAAAAGAATTGTAATCTAATTGTATAATTGGATCCTCTTTAAGGTACTTTCGTGATTTTGAGGTAGAAACTATTGGTTTAAAGGAAACATCAAGGCGTTGTACAGTTGCCAAATGTGGGACAAGACTTAAGGATACTGTCCTTGACTGGGAGGTACTACATTATTCATTTTCTTGATGGTAATTATGTTGAGTCTCAACAATTATCATTTTCCCTGCAGCTTTTGTCACATTGATTTTGTTGTATTTTTTGGTATTGAAATGGAATGTCAAACCAATGCAATTGTCATAAACTGTACAGCAACATAGTTTGATTAGTGACTCTTTTTTATATGGATATTTGGCTGCAAAATCATGATTCATAACTAACGCACTTTGTTAGAAAGATGAGTACGTGTTTGTACATGTTTGTTGGGCCTTTGCTTCATCTATAGACAATTCAAGAGAATAATAGTATGGCTTCTTTTTCTTCAAGATATTGAACTGAAGAAAAATGCTTTGCTGCTGCTTTTTGTTGACGCTAGATACAATTATGTCTCCCCCATTTGATCTTCCCTGAACTCACACATGAATAAAAATATCCATGTCAGTCAAGTGTTGATCATGCTGATTGGAGGAATAGTGAATTGCTAGTTGTTGTAAGGTTTTTGAAAACTTCAATATAAATGAAAAGTCGTTTCTGTTTAAAATCAGCCCACTATGAAATAATCTGTCTTTTCTCCATTTTGCATGTTGCTACCATAGTCCTACTTCTAGGATGCTTTAAATTTGGATTCATGACATATAGTACTTTGGCTTGATTTTAATCCGTTGGTGTTTGGTTGGTGGACATTGTAGGAAATCATGAATGATTGGTAGTTACCAATGTTTTCAATACTAGCATACTTCTTTTATTGGTCTGTCATGAATGCTAGTTTTTCTGATGTGAACATGACCTATGATAAGGGCTAGAGCAAGTGAAGCAAAAGAAGCTCTTCAACAAGTATTGTTGGTTGACCAAATTGTGTTTTGGATTAATCAATTAATGGACTTTAGTTTAGTTTTATTGCAAGTTGTAATAAGGGTCCAATTAGAAATTTAGTTATCAGCCTTTGGGAGACCAAGAGGGTGCATAGCTAATTGACTTTTGGATGCCACAATTTCGAGTTACAATCAATCATTAAGTAGTTTTCAATTCTTAGGTTAATAAATCATTATTAGTATTTATTTTTCTTTAATGAATATTTGAAACTCGATGGCAAAACTTCTTTATAAGCTTAACCATTTTTATCAGAAATAAAAGTTGAGTTTTATTTTTAGAAATATTAGAATTTTTCTCTTTTATCTTAGTGAGAGTGATTCTCCTAAGTTCTTGAGTGATTCAAGAACCCTTGGCTGTATCAAAGGACTTTCACATCCTTTGTGTGTTGCCTTCCTTGGAAAGAGTGATTCTTTCCTTCTACCTTCTTTCTAATTCCTAAATTTCTTACAAGGTTCTAACCTTATAGATCCTAAATTACCCCTTGTAATTCATATCAGTTGGTATTCAGAGCCCCGGTTTAAAGGTTTGAACATTAAATTGATGGCAAAGGAGGATAAAAAGAGAATGAGAGAAAAATTTCTTCAAGAAAAGAGAGAAAAAAAGAGGAAGAGCGAAACACTTGAAGTGAAACAGAGCTATTTAACCATAAAAAGTGAGTATAATGTTTGTTTTACATTTAATTTGTCAGACTTATCTCTTTTTAATGTAGATGACGAATCCGATTTGAGGACAAATCCTTTTCAAGAGGGAGATAATGATGTGAACATGACCTATGATAAGGGCTAGAGCAAGGGAAGCAAAAGAAGCTCTTCAACAAGTATTGTTGGTTAACCAAATTGTGTTTTGGATTAATCAATTAATGAACTTTAGTTTAGTTTTATTGCAAGTTGTAATAAGGGTCCAATTGGAAATTTAGTTATCAGTCTTTGGGAGACCAAGAGGGTGCATAGCTGATTGACTTTTGGATGCCACAATTTCAGTTACAATCAATCATTAAGTAGTTTTCAATTCTTAGGTTAATAAATCATTATTAGCATTTATTTTTCTTTAATGAATATTTGAAACTCTGATGGCAAAACTTCTTTATAAGCTGAACCATTTTTATCAGAAATAACAAGTTGAGTTTTATTTTTAGAAATATTAGAGTTTATCTTTTTTATCTTAGTGAGAGTGATTCTCCTAAGTTCTTGAGTGATTCAAGAACCCTTAGCTGTATCAAAGGACTTTCACATCCTTTGTGTGTTGCCTTCCTTGGAAAGAGTGATTCTTTCCTTCCACCTTCTTTCTAATTCCTAAATTTCTTACAAGGTTCTAACCTTAAAGATCCTAAATTACCCCTTGTAATTCATATCACTTTCACCACCAGGTCTTGATTATATAATAATAGATGATACCAGATTTATAAACTTCTAGTGAGAAGGACACATAACACAGTCTCTTGCTGAAAAATAGAAAAGATTTTATTCCGCGTGTGTTGTTGAAGTTGTACATCGAACCTTTTTGTTCGTACCCAAGCTAAACATTAAGTGACACTGACTAGTTGTTGATTCAGTTGTTAATGTTTGTGAAAATTTGTGTGAGGGAGATGATTAAGGACACGTTGATAAACTTTTTTGGCTGCATATCCATGTTTCCCTTTAAACAAATTTATGTCCTTGTATGTACAGGATGCATTGCCTCCAAAGGAGATGAATCCTGCTGAGAAGCACTGTAAACAGGCAGATATAGTGTTATGCTTGGGTACAAGGTAACATGACTTTTTTTCTTATCACTGCCAACAATTTTATTTTTCCTGTTTTTTTTCAGTACTTTGCCATCATTATGCCTATTTCTCTCTCCTTACTTGTTTGTCCATACTTGTAGGAGCTTAATTGCTTATTATTAAATGGGTAAAATAGATTAAGTCTTTATTTCTCAACATACCTGATAAGCATTGGCTTAAGTGTTGTGGCAAAAGCTTTACTGCTCTAGTAATTCCGAAGTGTTCTGATCATTAGAGTGGTAAGTGAAAAGGATCTTTTGGTTTTGCCTAGTCTTTTCCAAAATGAACAGTCCTGGATATCCCTCCTTAAATATGTAGAATCCCAGTTGGTATGTGTCGTTACTTTGGAGGGTCATTTTGCAGCCTAATTGGAACTTACTGCAATGGATTTGTATGGTTAGTTTTATCACTACCAAATGGCCAAATTATGCTCCAATATGTTTAACCAGCTCAAAAAAAAATTTGTGGGCCTATTTCATGTCTTTGAAGGGAATATCAATGAGTCTTACATGATCAATTTTCCATACCTTTCAAAATATTTTGCTTTGCTATTACTTTCATGTGATACATCATGGCTAAAATCTCAATGCAGTTTACAAATAACTCCAGCGTGCAACTTGCCTCTGAAAGCACTTCGTGGTGGGGGTAAAGTCGTTATTGTAAATCTCCAGGTATGTGACTTTTTTTTTTTTTTTCTTTCGCATCTATATTTTAATATTTTAACACCATCTCCTTACTTCTACAATGAAATCTTCTTTGCTGCTTAAAAGAGATTGAAATCTCTTATTTTCTACCCTTTTTGTTTTGCAAATATGAAATTATAATAGTTAAAGAAAAAATGTTAAATTCGCTGTTTTTTGCTGAGAGAACAATAACTCTATTGCCCACTTATTAGATTACCAATTGAAATTTCACAGTAGAAGATGTAGTTTCGTATTTACTTCATTCTATTACAGTAAAAAATGGGTCATTGGATGCAAAGGATCAGGTGCTACATGAGTTGGCACGTGAGCTTAAGGTTTGGGGAGTTTATACTAGGAAGAATAGAGGGAGGAAAGGCAGCATGTTAAGTTGGCAGAGAGAGAAATAAATGGAGAGGGTTGTTACTGATTTGGGGTTTACAGTAGTACATAGGTGGTGGGTAGTGCAGTAATAAGGGTATTACATGGAAAACATGACGATAGCTATAAATTGAGAGAGATAGCTCTCAATAGTAGCTTGACTATGTGTAGAATTGCATTTTTTAATTCTCAACGTACTCATCTCTTCTGGTTGAGTTAATTTCTGTTGAATATAGCTGTGTTGTTCTAGTGTGCATCGTCTACTCTAGAATATTTTACTTTATTTTAAATTTGATCCTTATGATCCTCTCATTTGTCACTAATCATAGTTCTTGCTAGTACTATCTAACAAATCTCTTGTTTGGTTGTTACGACCAGCTTGTGGATGTTGTAAAAGTAATCAAGAGTGGTCTAATTTACTAGCAATTTGACTAATTCAAAATCAACTGCGGCTAGTGGTCAAGATATGCTGTAGTTAGTTTCAATAGAATAAAATTCTGGGTTGTTTATGGTTGTTAGAGCTACGATTCTAACAAAGTTTAAGTATGTAACACCTTCCTTAAACATGTCTGAATTCTAAGTTTCAGAGTTTTTTCTATCATACTTAAATGATTGTTTGTTCATTATTGTTTCATCTAAACTATAAATGCTTGGACTCTACAGAAAACTCCAAAGGACAAAAAAGCCAGTTTAGTCATACATGGGTTTGTAGATAAGGTATTTGTTCTGTGTTCTTGACTATTGATTTTTTCTTTTCCGTTGTTTTTGTTTTTTTGTCTGGACTTTTGGTATTAAAGTTTACACTAATGTCAAGGTTGTGAAAAATCACTGATAGTAGTGTCTTGAAGTGTCAAACACTAATGTTAAAGTTTTCCATGTAATAAAGTTGCCCCTATTATATGACTTGTGGTGACAAACACTCAAACTACAATTCAACTCATTTAGTCTTTAGAGTTCAATGGAGTTGTATGTTATGTATTTTAACATGCGTTAATTCTAACTGGACCAGGTAATTGCGGGTGTCATGGACAAGCTTAATATGCAGATTCCTCCATTCGTCAGGATTGATCTTTTCCAAATTGTTCTAGTGCAAGCTTTGAGCAACGGTAACTGATGTTTAATTGTAACTTTTAAGCTACATCTCAGCATGTTCTTGAATTCAAATGCGTTCAATATGTTGATTCACATAACACTAGCTTATGCTAGATACATGACCAAACAAAATGGAACTTAATATCTGATTCTTCAATACTCCATGGTGCTAGCAAAGCTGTGAAAATCAAAAGTTGTATTCTTGGATCTAGCTTGCAAACTCTCGCTAAGTTTCAATTCATTTCATGTTATGATGGGAGAATAAAGTTGTTAATACAGCTTTCTAGCTTCAATATTCTATAGATACTTTCTATAATTAGCATCAGTTCTTCTAAACCAAACCCAAACTGCCTCTCTGATTTCTTAATTGTGTTGAATTTTACTGGACAAAGCTTCATTTTGGCATAATTAATGTATCTTCTTATTCTGGACATTTTCTGTCAACTCATTTGATGCTGCCTAAAAATTGGTTTCCTTGTTCATAATCTCATAATTCTAGTTGGAGCACTGCACACAACGAAAATACCAAGATACTGGAATGACTAGCTACTGCATGAGGCATTGATACATATATGTCTTATATAATCTGTTAATTTGCATTGCAGATAAAAGATATGTGAACTGGACTCTCCAGATTGCAAGTGCTCATGGACAGAGAGCGGCATTGCCTTTCATCGAGTCTGTTGAGGTGAATTCATATGTTGAATCTCTTTTTGCTTGTATTCTTTTATATCCACATGCAGTTTGCCCAGGCTGACTTCTGAGGTTTATACATTTTCGAAAGCAGTCCTTCATTCCTAGTTTTTTTATTGTGTACTTTTGGGAATCCTGATATTGGATTCCTTGCTCTTCCATTCCTTATTGGTGAAATGTATGTGGAATAGACTAGGAATAACAACATATAGAATATGGATATCACGATTATATGGACTAGGGGAATTTACTCTAATTTTGGAATTTCTTTAGAGATGTGATAGAATCAATCTTGCCTTCACCCACAAACTTAAGTTTTGGGTAAAAACTTCCGGAACTCGTGACTGGCACAGCTTCCTCCCCTTCACCAATCTCATGTTATTGTGAAAAAAAAAAAACTGAAGAGCTAGAAATTGACTAACGTATCTTATGCTGCAGGTCTCCTTCTTGGACAGGGAAGATTACAAAGCAGCCATTCTGGATAAGCAACCATTTAGGCTTAAAAGGTTTTCACCCATTATGCAAAGTCTTTCTTTGTGCTTCTAATCAAAATTTTACACAGTTTATTTATTGGTCCTTACAAACTAGATCTGAGAGAAAGTGATTTGAAAGAATTGTGATAATCTATATGAAGTCTAAAATTATGGAAAGGAATTCTTCATGTCTTTGGGTTGCTTAATTTTAGATTCTCACAATACACCATCGTTCTTACATTTGGTTGACTGATGTCTCAGGAGAACAGCATATAACAAAGCATTTGAAATGGTTCTGAAACTCAACTTCAGTGATGGCTGTGGTTGCTCATCCCTTGAAATTGATGTCCCGGTTGATTTTAAGGTGATATGTGTTGCTTAACTTTTACCGTCTTCTCTTATGATGTCTCTCACTTTCCATAACATATGATGTTTCATTTAAGGTGACTTAACAGTGACAATGCTGGTTTGGGAAACACCATTTATTATTTAAAAATTCCACTCTTTATGAGGGATGGAGGTTGAATCAACATTTTCCTTTTCTCATTGTTTCTTTTATGTCCAATGCTATTTTCTTCCATCCAAAAATGATTTATGAATAAAATTTCTCTGGGGCAGATCTTTCTAGCCAAATGCCTTATCTGAAATTTCATCATTGCAGGTTTCAACTGACTGCTTTGACTTTGATAAGGACTACATATTCCAAAAGCTGAGAGACAAGGCAGTTCTTGAATCAAGATGTGGTCAGAATGGTGTTATCGAGAGAAAGACCATCTTGACACCTAGAAGTGATGTCACTACCTATGCCATTGTGACCAATGTTGTTCAGTACAGCAAAACATGTAAAGCAGCCCTCGATTCTCTAAGTAATGGTGATCTTAAAAAAAGAAAAGCTAGTGTGACTGGTACAGGATCTTCGAGGAAGCGTTCAAAAGGGTCCTCCAAGTGTAAATCTAGATCAGAGAATATTAGGGATCATATGTAGGTTTTGTATGAAAAGCATTAGAAACTCACCAGAGACTGAGTGAATTTTGTTAGATGTTACACTCAGTTTCCCCTAAATGGTGTCCATGATACTACAAGGCTTTTGATACCATGTCACTAATATAGAAGGTATTCTTGGTGTGGCTATTGGAATTTTTCTTTTATGAAAATTCCAGACAACTTGATGTGAATGATATAGGTAAGGAAATTTAGTTTGAAAAATGCTGAGTATAAAAGCAAAGCTCAACTTCTGTAAAAAAATCCCCTTTTGTCCTTTACCTGATGAGGTCTTTTTTTTACCCTGAATCTTTTCAAAACTTGCCAAATTGATCTTCTTTGGAGTTTGAAATGCAAGTGGAAACTGCTGCTTGTTGATGCTGAAATTTGTCAATATTTTTTTTGTTAGGCAAATGTTAACCAGTATCCTAAACTTCTGTTCTCATGACCCATTTTATTATCTGCTCAAGTTCTCAAACTCTACTCTGCTCTTCAATGTGAAATAATCAAGCTTAGGTTCTTCCATAAATACTCATTATGTGGAACTTATTCCTCTTTTGGGGTACTTTCTTATCTATATCTGTATTTGTCTAAAGTACTAAGTTAAATAATATGAAAATGATGATGATCACGAAGTACTAAAAAAAGTGCAGGATGCTTTAAACGTCAAGGGTTGGTCAACTGAGAAAATTTATCTGATTAAATCAAGAGAAAGCAAGAAAAGAATTTTTAAAGATGAACATCAAACTAATAAGTATTAAATATGTTTTTATCCGGTAATTCATAATGGAAGCATAAAATTTTCTATAAATTTTCAGTTAATTAAGGATAAATTTAGTTAAGTTATTTTTATTAGTGATGAAGGATGATTAAGTGAGAAAACTCTTTGAAAAAGTTTTGGAAAATAATTTTTAAACAATAACATCTTCCTCCTTCTTCTTCTTCTTCTTCTACTTATTATTATTATTATTAAATCTGATTACTATGAACATTATACTTTTTTTTGTCTGAAAAAGAAAAGAAAAAGTCAACGAACATACAGAAGAATGAATTTGGTAAATAAATTAGAGGGAAAAGGAAATATAGAATATAATGTTTTGTTATATAAGAACCTAAAGTCCAGAACAAATAACTCATAAGACTTAAGTTTAAGTTTGAACAAAAAACAAAACAAGTTCATATTTAGAAAAAAAATAATTATAAATACAACGAGTTCATAAAAATAATTATTAATTTATTTCTATATATAATTTTATTACCATTGGTCTTAACCTTGTTGAATCTTGATTTTAAAAGCATTGATTTTAATTATAAATAAATGAAACTTTCTTTTTTCATCTAATCAAACCCATTGTTTTGTATTCTTTTTCCCCCAATATATTTTCCAAAACCATTTTTCTCTTACTTTTGTTGACTAGTTTTCTTTGTCAAAGACAAAGCTAAAAGGTAGGATAATTATATTAATTAAATTTAATAGTAGTAATTATCAAATATTTATTTTGAATGAAAAAATAATTCCCTTAACATTTTTTTTTTCGTAAAAAAAAACGTGAACTCCCTTGACCATATACTTCATCAATGAATATTTTCTAAATTGACTCCTTAATTAATGAAATTTCAACAAAAATTATGTTTTCACTTGAAATGAATACACAATGTGAAAACAAATTATAACCAAAAACATTATTTTATATTTTCATTTTCTCATTTTTCCAATTTATTTATTTATTTTACTTTTGTTGGCCTAAATTTTCATTAGAACAAAATGACAAAATATAATATTTATTTTAATTATGCATTTTTTTTCCTTTTATAGTATAAAAAGAAATATAAATTATATAACAATTTATTATAATTAACAAAAGTAAATAAACAAAAACAAAAGAGAGCTTCCTTAATCATTCATTTTGTTCTAAAAAAAATCAGATAATATATGTTTTTGTGTCCAAGTAACTCTTGTTGAGTCACTTCCATTGAAATTAAACAATTTTTATGATCTTAGTAAACTATTTTCGAGATTTATAGAACAAAAATATGATATTCTAATAATGAAAAAATATATATACATATAACAAATAGTAAAGTTGCCAAATATTTTCTTGTCTTTCAATAATTACAATTTTCATTATTCCTTTAAATAAGTCAGGTTATTTAAAAAAAATCAATTCTTCTAAAATATTAATCCCCACACTTTAAATGGGTCAAAATTTTCCTTCAAAAATAATAAATCTTTTTTTTCTTAGATGAACATTAAATATAAATTTTAATTTAATTGGAAATACGTATAAAAATTTACATATTAGACTTAGCAAAATTTGGTATGTCAATTAATCTTTATTTCAACAATACTAATCTAGAAACAAGATAAGGAATTAATTAATTACTTTTTAAAAATATTAAATCAATGAAAATATTAATATTTAATAGTGAAATTGTTACAATATTTTCATTAAATGCTATCTAAGAATAATAAAAGCTTAACAAAAAGTAAGAAACAAATTTTCTATTTTGTATACTTTGAATAATAAATTTAACAAAAAAAAAACTATTAGTGTAGAAAATAAATTAAGCATTATTTATATTGCATTAATCACCAAATCCTACAAGGTAACTCTTTAAAAGAACCAAATTCTATGCATCTCATTACTTTGTACTTGGACTAAGTTTTCTCCTGAGTTTTCAACCCCCACTATAAATTCAGAACTTAGCTTTCATACATTCAAGTGTCAGATTCAAGAATTCAACCTCAAAATCTGACCTTTTTCTTTTTCTGAGGAAGAAAAAAGAAGTTGTGTGTTTTCAAAGCTATGGAGCATGGAGATTCTTTCTTTCACTATGATCAACATGGGAAATCTAGTTCTGGTAAGCACTTAATACAAGAAAAAAAAAATGTTTCCTTTCACAATGTTTGATACTTATATTACTATGCTTCTATTATAAAGTACAAAACAAGTATATGGATAAAATTTGAGAGACCTAAAAACAAAATTTTGTTGAAGTATTGAGTATTGAAATATTGTGTTTGATTGGTTGAGGTTTAGCAATTCCTTTGCAGCAAGCAAACACAGAAATTGCAGCAGCAATAAACTCAAATGGAGGTTCAAACCCTAATTTGATTGTGAGAGATAAGAGCAAGATGCCAATCACAAATGTGACAAAAATCATGAGAAAGATTCTTCCAAATAATGCAAAAGTTTCAGATGGAGCCAAAGAAATGATTCAACAGAGTGCTACAAACTACATCACCTTTGTCACTAGAAAAGCCAAGGAGAGATGCCAAAGTGAGTATAGAAAGATTATGAATGCAGATGACTTGTTATGGGCCATAGGAAATGTGGGCTTTGATGACTATATTGGGCCTCTCACTACTTTTCTCCAACGTTGTCGCTCCATTGAAGGAGGTATTAGTGGGCCTAGTTTTGGGCCTGAGCCCACCATGGAGATTCCTCACCCTCCTTTACCACCACCACCAGTTTCTTCATCTGGGTCAGATTTTTCCATGCACCAAAACACAGATCCTGAAATGTTTGACTCAAATGGTGTTAGTGGGTACCTAGATGCTGTTGGTTCTTCAAATAATGCTTTCATCAACTTTGATCCTTTCTCTCTCTTCCAACAGGATCAGCTCTGAGATGATACAACAATCATCAACAACAAACACAATACCAGAATTCTCATTCTCATTGTTCATCATGAGAAAACTAGATTTTCAAGTCTTGGCATTCATAATTTTGCATTAGTATTATTAATAAAGATCTTAAATTTAATAAAAAAATGTCATTAGAACATGCTGATGAATGTCACATTTATAACGGCTATGTGCAGCATGAAGTGGATTTTATTAATATGATTTGTTTTGGTGGGTCTGAAAAACAGAAAGTGAGTCACATGGGGTTCCTCCATGGTTTCACAGAGGAAAAGACTTGGATTTTGCTTCAGTCACTTCACAGATATGGAAAAAGAGAGGTTGATGAAACCCCACAGTTTGAAGAATTTTTATTTTTATTATATATATATATATATATATATATATATATATATACTTTTTTTATCATGTGGGTATAGTAAATTTATTTATTATTATAGTAATTATTTTAGAAATTATATGAATAATAATTTCTCGGTGTAAAATATTTTTCTTTGAATACAAAAGATAAATTCAAGTTTTATTTTACAAAATAAACCTACCAGTGAAATAGAGAGAAGAATAGTGGGTGTTTTTCTACTATAAATATTTCATTGAAGGCAAATTATATTGAGTATGTGTAAATTGAAAAATAAATAAATAAATGGTTACATATATGGTAGAAGATGGAATAGAACTACGTAATTTTAATAAAAATAAATTTAATCTTTTATAGAATTATTTAAAGAAAATATATTATTTTTATCTCATAAAATTATTTAAAATAAATAATTTTACACATAAACATCTCTTATCAAATATGTTTTTATTAAACTAATTTTTAAAATATAGAAAAACTTAAATAAAATTATGAAATATTTAATGTTTCATTCAATTATTTTAATAATAATAATAATAATAATAATGAGGATGATGATATATTTAAAATAAAAAGTATAGTTAATTTTGAAAAAATAGTTCAAAGATTATACTTGTATGTTTACTTTTTTAATTTTTGAAAAAAATAATTTTTAAAAATTGTTTTTTTATTTATTTTAAAATTAAAAAAATCAAAACAAATAAAATATATTTTTATTTTATCAATATAATATCTCTACTTTTAATAATAAATTTGTTTTTATTATAATTTTTCATAGTCTATATCATCTGCTTTTATCTAAAATTATTTTTAAATTAAAATTATCAAATAAATATTTTTCAATTTTTTCTCAAAAACAATATTTTAAAGTTTTTCGTTCCGTCGGAAAATATAGAATATAAAGAAATTAAAATGAGCGAAAAATGTGAAAAAGAAAAAAAAATGTTACTTTTGTTTTGAATGAGGCATATTTACTTTTTTTCTTTTACGTGAGCGGTGAAAAAAATAATTTCTTTTATTAATAATTATTTTAACAATTTATAAATAATAATATTAATTTTTAATTAAATAATAATTTTTAACTTATTTTCATATCACTTTCCCTTAAATAACATGTATATTTTTTATTATATATTTTTTTTTCATACTTTCTTTCCATGTTATAAAATAGAGTCTAAAATCGCGTTTAAAACTAATATAAAAAAAGTTATATTAAACAAATCTTTATTTAATGGTTTAATTTTCAAAAATTGTTAATTTAACATAAAACCTTAAATAATCCAAAAACATCACATGTCGATAATCATGAATATCTACATAACTAGATTTTTGCCGACACTCCTCAATCTCTCGCTCTCAACAACAACATATAATTTTGAGTGACATCATAACATAAGCCACCTTCTTTAGTTGTCTCTTCCTGCTTTCCCACTCTCACAACCGTTACCTTCCCACATTCCCACCAATTCCTCTTTAAATCCCATCATCAAACTCTCTCTCTACTTCCACAGATTCATTCATCTTCGCTTCCTTCAATCTTAGAACAACACAATGTCCTTCACAACCTCCATCCTCATCTTCATCATCTCAATCTTCTCATTTACAACAACCACAACCCTCTCTCACAACAACACAACCTTCTTCTCCTTCTCCTTCCCCTCCTTCACCCTCCGCAACATCACCCTCCTCGGCGACTCCTTCCTCCGCCACGGCCTCGTCGGCCTCACCCTGTCCACCATCGTCCCCGCTTCCTCCTCCGGCACCCTCCTCTTCAACAACCCCATCACCACCACCCCCAACTTCTCTCTCTCCACCACCTTCACCTTCTCCATCACCAACACCACTACTTCCACCACCCCCTCCTCCACGTTCTCCTTCTTCCTCAACTCCTCCCACACCCTCCTCTCCCTCCACTTCCACCCCAAGCAAAACCATCTCACCCTCGACCTCACCACCACCTTAAACTCCTCCCTTACCAGCCCCGTTCTCGTTGATCTCAGCACTGACACTCCGATCACTTCTTGGGTTGATTATCACCATGCTGACCAGAAAAAGCTCAACGTTTTCTTGAACTACTCGTCACCAGCCTCTTCTAAGCCTCAAAACCCTGTCTTGAGCGTTGACCTTGACCTCTCTGAGTATTTTAAGGACAGTCTCTACGTGGGGTTTTTCGGTTCCACTCAAGGAAGCACCGAGCTTATCCAAGTCATGAGTTGGAGTTTGGAGTTTGAGTCAAACTTGCACCCTCTGATCAATGATTCTAGCAGCCCTTCCAGTGTCGCGGTTGAGGGGATTCCTGTTTCTTCAAATTCCACTGAGGGCAGTAATAAGCGAGGCAAGAGGTTTTTGTTTGGTCTTTGTGTTGCTATTGCTGGTCCTTCTTTTTTCTGCGTTGTGCTTGTGGTTTTTGGGTATGTTTCTTTTCGTAAGTGGCGTGGTTTGAGGAAGAAGAAAGGTTTTGGGACAGTGGGGTGTTGTCCTAAAGAGTTTGGTTACAAGGAGGTGAAGTTGGCGACTAAGGGGTTTCATTCCTCAAAGGTAATTGGGAATGGATCTTTTGGGACAGTGTACAAGGCTTTGTTTGAATCTTCTGGGACCATAGCTGCGGTTAAAAGGTCAAGACAGTACGATGGAAAAACTGAGTTTTTGTCCGAATTATCTATTATAGCTAGTTTGAGGCACAAGAATTTGGTTCAACTCCTGGGTTGGTGTGTTGAGAAGGGTGAGTTGTTGCTTGTGTATGAGTATATGCCAAATGGAAGCTTGGACAAGGTGCTTTACCAAGAATGTGAAGGGGGGAATAATAACAATGTGCTGATTTGGGTTCATAGGGTTAACATTGCAGTTGGGTTGGCTTCTGTTTTGAGTTATTTGCATCAAGAGTGTGAGCAAAGGGTGATTCATAGGGACATCAAGACAGGGAACATATTGCTAGATGGGAGCATGAACCCAAGGTTGGGTGATTTTGGGTTGGCCAAGCTTATGGACCATGACAAGAGTCCTGTTTCAACACTAACTGCTGGGACAATGGGGTACCTTGCTCCTGAGTATCTTCAATGTGGAATGGCAACTGAGAAGACTGATGTGTTCAGCTATGGGGTGGTGGTGCTTGAGGTGGCTTGTGGGAGGAGGCCAATTGAGAAGGAGGGGCAGAAGATGGTGAATTTGGTGGATTGGGTTTGGGGGTTGCACTCTCAAGGGAAGATCATTGAGGCTGCTGATAGGAGGCTGAATGGGGATTTCAAGGAAGGAGAAATGAAGAGGCTTTTGCTCTTGGGGTTGAGTTGTGCTAACCCTGATAGTGCTCAAAGGCCTTCCATGAGAAGAGTGTTGCAGATTCTCAACAATGAAGGAGGAGTGTCTCTGGTGGTGCCTAAAGAGAAACCAACACTAACTTTCTCTTCTGGCTTGCCTTTGAGTCTCGAAGATATTGTTTCTGATGCCGAGGAAGACTTGAATTCTGGCCAGGTTGTGTGTGAGATCAGAATTGATTGAAGATGCTGAATTTGTAGTCATTATTATTTTTACATTCATTTGATTCTTTAGTTCTTTATGGACACTTTGTTTCAATGAAATTTGTTTTTTGTAATTGTAATCTGACTTACAGGACAATTCATGGTTCATTGACTGGAGTTCAAGCTATTACATTGAACTTCATGGTAACAATAATGCATAGTGTATCCCGAAATTAACTTTGTTTCTGGTCATATATAAGATATTTCTCAAGCTTGATTTCTGAAACATTGTATTGTCGACTTTCGAGTGAAATATATTCTCTCTTTAATCTTGAATGGTGTTCAACTTTTGAGTGAAAATATGTTCAACACACAGAAATCTATTCATTAAACAAAAACATTTATGATTTCTATGTTTCAGCTTCAGAGTCTGACACCAAAACTCCATCATGTGTTTCTGCTATATTCTATGCATTAAGTGCATATATCTAAACAATTTTTTTATGGATATATGTTAGGAAGATTTGGTGACCGAGTGAATCACAAGTTAATTTGCAGCTATGACTGGAGCCATATGCGATTGACTTATCTAACGGCTATTTGAGGCAAACTCTGAAACTCATCATCATCATTATTGACCAAAACGCCAAGAAATAAAGTAACGAAAAAAGGTTGAGCTGTATAAAGAAAGAACCCTCCTAAAAAACCATTTAATTTGCCTTATAAGGTTCGAGAAACGCCCACAAAAATATAATTTAATTTGTCAATTAATTCTAACATAATTAGATGTTTAAACTAATTAAGCTCTGTTAGATATTGTTTATATATTATTTGATATTGTTAAGATATTGTTAGATATTGGTAACCACAATATCAAACAATATCTTCTGTTTATTCCGTTACTTTCAGCTACTCTTTTAGTTGTATATCTCTACTATAAATAGACTACCCTATGTGTGATTTATACACAAGGGAAATTAATTTCAAACCATATTTTCTCTATATTCAACATGGTATCTAGAGCTTAAGGTTCTCTTGAATTTTTTTTTTTTTCCGCCTTTTGTCCACTGTTGGAGCCGCCCCACCGCTGCTAGAGCCTCCCCACCGTCGCTAAAGCCGCCCCACCGCCGTCGGTAAACCGATCCTCCACATCGAAAAGAATTATCTTTGTC